CCACAGTGGTTGCACCAGTCTGCACTCCCACCAACAATGGAGAAGGGTTCCTTTCTCCCCACACCCCCGCCAGCATTTGTTATTGGATGATTTCTTCAACTATGTCTTTTTTCACTTGAACTCCAGATCATTGCTCAAGTTTTATCTGACTGCAGCTTCTATTTTAGCTACTATTATCAACTTCACATGGTTACTCAAAACAACAAAAACTCCATTACCAGTACAGATGGTACTGTCAATTCTCTACTGAATGTTTTGGTGGGGCATAAGGATGGCACAACATATATGAAATTTACAAAAATAAAACCCACCATGCTCATTAAAGGAAAAATCTCAACCTATTCTGTAACTAAGCCTTTCAACAGAGCTGATGAATAATAAAAGAGACCGAGGGGCTAATGGCTATACACCATCCCCATACTGCTGGCAGGGAGGAAATGGGAGAAGTGAAGAAAGCCAGCCTCCCTGTTGAAAGAGTTAATGAAAATATCCTCAATCTAAAATATAAAATGAGAATAAACATTCAACTAAATATGAGTTGAGAAAAATTACAATAATCTCTACATTAAAGGTTGAGAATATTTTTTCATTCCTGAGAAATAATCAAGACTAAGGACAAACTTTAAAATCTGTAATTTAAATAGTTAGAATCTGATGTTGTTATATTGAGTTAGGGAATATGAAATTTGCAAAATCCAAATAGATGTGACATGATCAAAGGAGAACTGTGAAATCTCTGTAGATTTCTAAACACAAATATTCCAAAGTGTTTTGAACAGAAACTTAACTACCAATAAGCTGTCAAATTACATGACCACTAAAAAAAAACACACTAAATTCTGTCAGTAAAACAATTTAAAAGGTGAGACCTATTAATTTTTTCATGTTTCAGGTGATTTGCATTATGTATTTAATAGTTTTTTGATATATGAACAATGCACATACATTGTGGAAAACTTTGAACTATAAAAAAGCACAAATAGTTCAGTGAAAATCCTTTTGAAAGCACCATAAACAGATGACCACAACTAGCATTTGGGTGTACACCCATCAGGGTTTAGTTTTTTCTGTTAGGTTGAACCATACTAAACTGGAATGTTCCAATATTTAGAGGCTTTTATTTGAATGAATTATAGGTTCAGAGCATGTTCTTCAAAAACTGTACATCCTGGGCTGGGGATGTAGCTTTGTGGTACAGCCCATGTTCCCTCACACCAAAAACAAATAAAAAACATACATCTGGAACCTCCCACAATGCTAACATCTTACAATCTTGGCATGATATCAAAACCAAGAGACCAATATGAGCACAATACACAGAGCTCAATCAGATGTCACCAGTCACACATGGACTTGCATGCATGTGCTCCTGTGCACCCACAGCTTTACGCAGTCTTATCCTGTGTACAACCTTATGTAACCACCATGATGCAGGTGCTCATCTGTACCATCTAAGTTCCCCATGTTACTCTTTTAGAACAATAACCCTCATCCCCAAGCATTCATCTGCTCTCCAGATCCATAATTATATTATTTCATGAGTGTTACATAAATAGAAGCATACATACAGTATACATCCTTTGGAGACTGGCTCTTTTCACTCAGCATCATTGCCTTGGGCTCATCCAAGCTGCTGTACTTACTGAAAACTTGATCCTTTTTATTGCTCAGCAGAATTTCATAGTATAGATGAACCATAGTTTGTTTAGCCATTAACCCACTGAAGGACATATGGATGCAGTACAACTCTGGGTCATTATGAATAAAACTGCTATGAACATTTGTATAAGTTCCTGCATGAAAATAAGTAATTTTCCTGGGACAAATGCCCAAGAGTGCACTGTTGGGTCATATGGAAGTTTACTTTTCAGTTCTGAAAGAAACTGCCAAACTGTCTTCCAGAGAGGCTAGTACACATTACACGTCAGTCATGATGAGTGATGCAGACTTTCCACCTGTCACATTACGAATGTGTTTCCTTTCCTCCTTTTCTCCGAAGATGTATGTCTGTTAGAAACATGTCTCAGCTAAACTATAATTTTAGAGAAATTTTATTCAGAAAGGGAAGACTTATTAGATGACAAAATATACAAAATTTTCTTCTAGTTTTAAAACCACCTTTTCTGCAGCTTTACCATTTAATGTTACATATTTCTTCTCCTTGGTTTTCAAAATAATGCATACTCAACAATTTTCAAAGTTTCCCCAACCTTTCTAACCCTAACTTAACAAATGAATGTACACTGTGTCATAAGAGACCTTCAAATAAGATTTCCCTGGAATTGGGACATTTTTATACATGTATTTTTAAAATATCAACTTCTATAATCTGTGTTTCTATAGTTTTTAAAAGTTCATCCTTAATTACTTTCTGGGGGCTGTGATGTATCCATATTAGAACTCTCTTGCTCTTTTTTTTTTTTTTGGTACCGGGGATCGAACTCCAGACCTCGAGTTTTCAAGGCAAGCGAGGTGCCACTGAGCTAAATCCTCGGCCCTAGAACTCTTGACTAGTATATGTTTACATCCCCAAGTTCCATTCCCAGCACCAAATAAACAAAAAAACAGATTCCACGACAGACATATTTTATAACACATATTATTTTTGAGTTTTCTGCAGTACTATAGAATCTTTATTCTTCATAATTGGAATTTAGGGGGAAAATTTAGGGTAGTGGTGCTGGAGCCTGGTACCTGTTAGGCAAGTGTCCTACCACTGAGCTACACCCCCAATTCAAGTTCATACATCTTTTAAAAGAAACTAGTGGCTTTTATAGAACTTTACCCTCCTTGCAAAACATGCACACATACACATATATACATACACATCTCCATCCTATACACATCTATTAAGTACCAGTTATTTCTTTCACCTGCAATTAATAAAGGATGATCCTTACCTAAAATACAGTAGTTGAGAATAATGGCAAATTCTTGCAGTCAGAATAAATGACTTTTACATCACAAAGGAGGCATGGTGCTCGAGTTCTTTACCAAGTTCGGTGCTTAGGAGCAGCTACTGGAAGTGCTGTTTCCTAAGCCCAGGTGGCAGGAAACACTACTCTAGTATTTAAGCTTCTGGAACTCCTTTTACATTTTTATCAGTTACTCTAAGGAAATGACCACTCCCTGGAGTACAGGAAAATCTACATGGCAGAAATGATGAGTAGGACACAGTTTGCCAGACAGGAAGACTGCGTGCGTGCCCAGTGGTGCCTTACCTTTCACGGTAGGTCTGACAGCTCAGAAGCCCTCATCTGCTGCCCGGCAGATGGCTGTAATGCCCCACACCATGAAACTTGCAGGCCACAGATTTCCCACCACTGAGGGGCTGGCTGGCACTCACCTCCAGTTCTCAAATGCTCAGATTCTATTTTTACTTACTTTTGATTGGGGTAGGAAAAGGTAATTTCAAATACTATTTTTTAGTGAAATTATAAGAATATCAGATTAGCATTAAGAAATTTGGAGCCTTTTGAATTAGTGTGACATTTCAAGAAAATTACATTTAACTACTAAAAACCTCAAAGGTATTCTTGCATTTGTCTACCCGATTGTGTTTTCTGCTTAAAGAATAACTAGCTCAGTGCTAAAGCAGTGCTCGGTGTCAGCTAGGCTCTGTATTCAATTATCAGTACCTCACACATTAGGACTAAAGAATGTAAGATTAGTGGATAACTGAGAAATGCACTCAATCTGTCTGTGGTAGAGGATTTACGAGTTATTAATTTGTTCAAAATGCCAAGGCTCAAACTGGGTGATTAACAGCCAGCCTTGGTGACTTACAATGAAGACAAGTGGCATCAAAGCTTCTGTACTTTCTGCAGGGAATCAACAATACTCAAGGGTAAAGTGAGCCATTTATTTAAGTTTTTTTAAAACAGGGTCTCACTATGTAGCCCAGGCTGGCCTGAACTCACAGTGATCCTCTTGCCTTAGCCTCCTCCTAAGTGCTGCGATTGCAGGTGTGCACACCCATGCTCAGCTTAAAGTGAGTCATTTTAAAATAGTGGTTCAAATCCAGTTGAAACCACTATTCTATGATGTGTTGACCAACAATATTTTTTGGAACAATATATTAAAATGCTGAATAAAATATTAAGAGTATATCATAGCTAGGCACACTGATACTCACCTGTAATCCTAGCTACTCAGCAGACATGGGCAGGAGGATCACAAGTTTGAGGTCAGCCTGGGGATTGGTGAGACTTTGTCTCAAAAAAAGATGCACTGGGGACACAGCTCAGTGGTAGGTAAAGTGCCCCTGGGCTTGATCCCCAATGTTTCCCCAAAAGAGTATGCCAGGTTATCCCATTCTTTGTCTGATACACATATACATAAAATGCACATATATATGTACACACATACAAATACTTTGGTAAGACTAAAACTCCAGGCTAGAAGCTTTATATCATAGACATTTAGACAACAGCTCAGTTTCCTAGAATATTTAAGCCACATCTGACATGTTCTTGAATTTTTCCTACCGTATTAACTGAATCATTAAGAATTATTTGTGGGATGGGGTTCACCTCAGTGCCTACCATGAGTGAGGCCCTAACACACACACACACACACACACACACACACACACACACATACACACACAAATACCAAAACAAAAAAAGAATTATTTGTGGAAAAGAGATGTATATCACCAGTTTCATACCCAAAAAATAGACTTTAACACTTCATAAAAGACTTTAAAACGTATAAACCCACTATGTGCATCCATGAGTAAAAATCAGCTACTGAACTGTCCCCTCAGAGGTTCCAGAGACATCAGTCAAGTTCTCCATGGCTGATGGCATCTGTCACCAAGAGGCTTGGGGAAGTCAAAGACTTGCATTCCTTACCAAGTTCCAGGTGCTGCTGATGCTGCCAGGCTGAGCACCAGATTCTGAGAACTACTGCTCTAGATGAACAACAGCTGTGTATCCACTTCAGTTGTTCCAGAAAATTGCGGAAAGAAATACACGGGGACACAGAATTCAGGTAAAATAATAAAAGTTTACTTGCAAGCAGGCAGGACCACTAGAAACTGGTCTGGTCAGTGTCCACACGACCCTTTGTTCAACATTTCCTTTTATATCTTCTTTAGCTATTATCTCATCCCTAGTGGTCTTTGTTAAGTAAATAAAATAAAATTCCAATTCCTGTTTAATGGTTAGACACAAGTGGTTTCTATTGCTGATTACAGTCCTAAACACATAACAGTTAAGGCACATATATCACAAGTTTGCTCAAGGATTGCAACTTTGTTCTTCAGAGTTAAGATGTTATCTATAGTAGAGCTACAGATCAAAGGAGCTATATAACCTTCACTTTAAACAACAAAAGCAATGGGCTAAGGCAAGTTTTTAAAGGGATATACTACCTATTTTGTTTCTACTACTACCTTAATATACAACCTACTAAGCTGTCTCAAACTTTTTTCCTATCATTGCCCCCTCTGTTTACTTCAGGATAATTATTCTATCCATTATATGTTCTATCTAGTTTATCTACATTTCTTAGCACTAGCATTGACAGTGTTGAGCAGCAGCAATACGCTGCTGTATAAATCTTGAAATCCATTGAATGACACAAGGACCAAACATTAATATTAATATTATAACAAGAAGGGTACTCAGAAGAGGTCCTATCCAAGTTTTCCATTCTGTCAAAGTAAATTCCATAGCACGGCTCTCCTGTACCAAATTCATTATCAAGAGCTTTGATCCGATCTTTCAGTTTGTCTAGTGATTCTTGTATTAGACCAGATTTATTAGCATAGTAACAACACTTTTCACCAAGAAATAAGCAAGTCCCTCCTTTCTGGGCTGTGAGCAAATCGAGAGCTCGTCTATTCTGTAATACGACATTGGCCAGTGAATCTAGTTGGGTTTCTAAAGCCTGAAGTGCATCTCGAATTTCCTCAAGATCTTTTCTAATTTCTTGTCCTAATGAAATATATTACTCCTTTCAGCCAAATAGGATCCCATGGGGCTGGCATATACATAGATATAGGATTACACTGATCTTGTTTACAATTGTTACAATTACCAGTGGCTCATCCAACAAGGGAGCCATTGATCCAAACTTGTGTTTTCTCTTTGCAATATAATTTCTCATTAGAATAGCCCCCACAGTCAGAAGCTACCCCAGGTCACTCATAATGTTCCTTTGGGCAAGCTGAATCAAAGAGCATCGTAAACGGATAGCCCTCTGGTTCCCATTTTACCATTTTAAAGTTACATATTGTTCATCAAACTTTTCATCACTAGGCTTAAACACCTGCAGTTCGAAAACGAAACTCAGAGCAGTGGCCATGTTGTCTTTCTCAGTGCTCCCATTCTTTAGCTGTGCGCTGACTCACCAGCCTCTGGAGTGGTGAGAGCAGGGCTTTGAGTGCATCGTCTTTCTTGGCTTTCAGCATCAGCTTTATTGTTACCTTGTGCAATGAAGTCTTTGCCTTTCTGATGTCCTGAACAATGTATTACTGTGACTTTGCTAGGTTCCCACCCTGCCTCTAGCAACTGTACAATTTCCTGTCTATTCTTGATTTGCTTCCCTTCTTCTGTGAGAAGACCTCACTCTCGATAAATCATGCCATGGAGCAAATGCATAGCGAGAGTCTACATATATATTTACCTTTTTACTCTTTGCCCATTGGAGTGCCTATATGAATGCCCAGAGCTCAGCACATTGTGCCGACCAGCCAAAAGGAAGGGGCCCCAGCTAGGATCACCTCATCCTTCTGGTTTCTGCATATCCAGCATGATGAACCCCATCTTCCACGAAGATGCTCCCATCCATGAACAGAATGAGGTCAGCATTGGACAAGGGTGTCATTTGCAAGTCAGGGCAATTGGAAAAGAGCTCATTGGTGACACCCAAGCAGTCATGATCGGGAGGGCCTGTCTCCGTGGGCAAAAAGGTAGCAGGATTTAAAGCTTTTACAGGAATAAACTGCAAGCGGGGGTTCTCACAAAGAAGGGCTTGATAGTGAGCAACCCAACTGTTTGAGAGCCATCGATGCCCCCTTGTGTTCAGCAGTTCTAGGACCACATGTGGAACCTGCACAATCAGTTCCTGACCTAAAGTCAGCTTGTCTGCTTCTTGAATCAACAGAACTGAGGCTAAAGGCCCGAAGACAAGGAGGCCATCCTTTTGCTACTGGATCTAAATTCTTAGACAAGTATGCCACTGGTTAATTTCATGGGCCTACTTCTTGGGTCAACACTCCAAGGGCCAGATGGTTTTTCTCAGTCACATATAGAATAAAAGGCTGCTTCACATCTGGTATGCCTAGGGCTGGGGTAGCTGCCAAAGTCAATATTAATTTCTTAAAAGCTTCCTCCTGTTCTACAGTCCAATGCAGATGATGCTTCCTCCTGTCCCTTTAGGGCTTCAAAAAGGGGTTTAGAGATTTCTGAAAAACCCAGAATCCAAATCCTACAGAAATCTGCCACCCCAAGAAACTCTCTCAGCTGTTTCTTTGTTTGGGGTTCAGGGATGGCACTAATAACCTGTTTTCTTTCATTTCCTAGGTAATGCATGCCCTGCGTTATTTGGAATCCTAAATATTTAACATGCTGTACACAAGTCTGGGCTTTCTTCCATGATACCTTACATCCAGTTCCCTGTAAGTGCAGCAACAACCCTTTGGTGCCTTCCCAGCACTGTTCGTAGGTTGGGCTACATAACAGTAAGTCATCCACATAACTGTAGTAGGACGCAGCTACATTGTTCCACAGGGAAAGCAAGCAAATCCTTGGCTAGGGCTTCCCCCAAAAGTGTGGTTGAGTTTTTAAATCCCTGTGGCAATCTGGTCCATGTAAACTGAGTCTTTTTGCCATCATTTGGGTCCTCTCATTCAAATGCAAAGACTGGCTGACTAAGGGGAGCATGTGAAGGCAAAAGTAGGCATCTTTTAAGTCCAAACAAGTAAACCACGCTGCCTCCAGGGGTATTAGACCCAAAAAAGTGTAAGGGTTAGGGACTACTGGATGCAATGTTACCATTCTGTCATTTATAGCCCGTAGATCTTGCACTGGCCTACAGTCCCCATCTGGTTTTTGAACCAGCAGCAAAGGGGTGATCCAAGGTGATTTACATTCTCTTTTAAGTCTAAATTCTTTTAACCTCATGATATGGGGCTTGATTCCAATTGGGCTTGCCTGGACATCAGATATTGCTTTACAGCAATGGGGGCAGAATTATCTTTTAATCTTATAACTATGGGCGGATGACTCTTAGCCAGGCCTGGGGGCAAATCTTCTGCCCACACTCCAGGAAACATAGCTTTTAATTCTCATGGAGCCTGATAAACATCATCCACATTGTAACATTGCCATTCATCTTCACTTTTAGTAGTTACCATCAAAATGAGATCCTTTCCTGGGCCTAAATGCAGAGACACATTTCCCCGTTGAGTGAAAGTTATTGTGGCTCCCAATTTGGATAACAAATCTCTTCCCAATAATGGGATAGGACATTCTGACGTATACAAGAATTCATGTTTTACTTTATGTCCTCCAATTTCACATGTCCTTTCATAGCAAAACTGGCACTTTTCTGAAATTCCAGTGGCACTGATCACTTGGATACACTTTTCACTCAGAGGGTTGACTGGAGCTGTTACTATTGAATGCTCTGTGCCATTACCACCATAAAGGACATATTTTGGCCCCATCCTTATATTCACTATGGGCTCGTGAGGGCCTAACTGCATCGAGCCCGGTCTGTGTCAGTCACTATCTTCCATCACAGGCAACAGCGTACCAGTATCTTTTCTTTTCTTTAATTCCTGCTTTCTTCTTTGAGCTGTGGGCACTTGTTCTTATAATGTCCTTTCTCTCTGCAACATGCACACTGGTCACAATCTAAGTCCTCACGTTTAAAACCTTTCTTTTGCTTTCCTTCTGATTTTGTTCCTTGTCTTTTTCTTTCTCTACCTTGGCTCCCACAGCCACTGCTATGTATTTGGCCCACCTCTTATCTCGTTCATCTTCCCTTTTATCTCATTCCTTCTCTCGCACACTCTGTTCACATACACTTTCCTAGCCAATTGCAACAACTGTGTTATGTTCATATTCTCCCAAGTTTCTTGCTTTTGAATTTTCCTTCTAATATCTGGAGCTGACTGGGTCACAAAAGTTGTATTGATTAACTGATGGTTATTAGGAATAGCAGGATCAAAAGGTGTATACATTCTGTAAACTTCGCAGAGCCACTCATAAAATCTCTCAGACTCTCATCAGGCTCCTGCTGTGTTTCTAGCACTTTAATCATATTTGTAGGCCTTTTACTCGTGGCTCTTATCCCTGACAGGAGGGCTGACTGATAATTGCTTAAGCTGTCCTGGCCTCCTGGGGTATTGAGGTTTCAATTGGGCCGCTCATTCACTGAAAATTGCTGTTCATGCCAAGCGCCTGGATTTTGTGTGCCTACCGGCATTCTAGGAGCATTGATCCTTTTAATTTCTCCTAAAAGTCTCTGCATTTCTTTAAAGGTTAACAAAGTTCTACAAAGTTCTTTACAGTCCTCCCAATTAGGACAATGGGTAGCAAAGATGGAATCAAATAATTGAAGCATTTTGGAGGGGTCTTGGCAGGGAATAAATGACTTTCTTTTTCTCTGGACCTAGCCTCCTTTGTCCTTTTTTTTTTTTAAGTCAAAACTCAAATACCATACCTGGTCTGATGTATTTGTGCCTTTTCCCAACAGTTTTTTTTTTTCTAACTCACAATAAAGGAGGAGGTCATATTGTAACCTGTTGGCTCTTAAACCCTTTGAAGATGACCAATGTATACATATTATAGTAACATATTTAGAATTTAACCCTTTGATGACAGCCAATGTAAACATATTTAACCTTTCATAACAAACTTGAAGAAGCCAACAAACAAACATACAAATTTTCTTGATAAATGACTTCTGCACATCTTTTGACATACCTAAGCCTTCTGGTCTTATATATCTCTTTTATCTTTCTAACAAGACAAACATACAAAATTTCTTATATCAAAATTGTATCTCTCTTACTTATAGCTTTTTAATATATTTTTAATCTCACTTACTATAGACCTTTTATCACAAATTTGTCTTTAGCTGTTAAAATTTTAAAGTGTCCCTTTTTGGTTCTCAGATTGTTACAATTTAAATTTGGTTGGCTGCCAATAGAACGGTAGTAACCTTGAGTTTTTTTATCAACAAAGTAGAGAAAAGAGTAAGTTAACCCTATAATTACAATTTAAGAATTTGCAATGTACAAGAATTTTTTTTTTTTTTGGTACCTGGGATCGAACTCAGGACCTTGCACTTGCGAGGCAGGTGGTGGAACCACTGAGCTAAATCCCTGGCCTATAAGAAATATTTTAAGCACACCAATTAAACATCAACTCAAACTGAAACATGGATACATTTATCAATTAGCTAAAATTTGTAACTTGATTTCTCTTGTAAAATATCTTACTGTCTCTGGCTTTATTTTACGCTCTTCAGAGCTTTCTTAGCTGTTTTCAATCCATTACTTATTCTCTCTTTCCAGTTTTTTTCCAATTTGAGGGTAAGCCCTATTCAATCCTCTCTGAGTCTGACCACAGCATGCACCCTCTGGTGCTCTAAAGCCAAGCAGTTCTCATGCTTTTGTCCCCACCTCCTCCACACCTGTGAATTTAGAAACACAAAAGGAGGGGGAAAGTCTAAATTCTCTCGGTCCTGATCTGGAAGGACAGGTTTCTTTCCAGCATCGGCCTCTTTCTGATGGAGGACCAGAATATTGTTTTTTGCTTCCAGGGTGCACATATGAAGCCAAGGAGGCATTCTGTGGCACAATTTGAGCCATAAATCAATACAGGGAAATTAATCTGGATGTTCCCATCCAGGGGCAGTGACCGTTAGTCAGATGGACCAGACAAGACCCTCATCTAGGGATCTCTCAGTTGGCCATGCTGGGCAAAGCGTATGCCATTCTAACTCACAAAAGGTTCTAAATTTGGGGGGGTTTCATCTTAATACTATAATTTCCAGTAAAACCTTTCTTAAAATTCTTAAGCATGCATTCCAAAACAGTAGGACGAGATGTTTCTGTCCCCACGATTGGCTGATCAGAGTGTTGATGTATGGGTACCCTTGTACAGAGACTCAAGACAAACAAAGGTGGGGTGGCCACTCGAAAGCGACCCACTCACTCGCCTGCCCGGCTGCAGGCTTCTTGGCCACTTTAAGGTCTGATCAGGCTAAGGTGGGCTGTCACATAAGCTCACCATTGTGCCTTTGTTATATTCAAACACAGAACAACAAGACAGACCATACACAAGTTCTGGGACTCGGGCAGGACTCTTTAAGCACAAGCGCCTCCTCCCTCTGTCTTGTTTCACTCACTCTCCTATCCAGAACTCTTTTACTCACACATTTATTCAGAAGTTAAATATTCCCACCCGGTGACCCCCTAACCGTGACCAAAACAAATGAAAGAAGCTACATCTCCAAATGGCAAAGCACCAGGGGTGATCAGGCCCCTGCGCTGTATTTGCCCAAAGTTACAAAATACAAACTCACAAAGTGAAACCAAAGCGAAACCAAAACTTGATGACTAGGGGGTTTCCTGGGGTTTCTTAGACAGACGAGATACCAAGAGCAGTAGCCCTCCTTCGGTAGTCCTCCGTCTTGGGTTCAGGCGATCCGCAACCAGTGAGCAGATCTCCGTGTCCTGCTGGGGAGCCTAGAAAATTAGTCCCAGGGGCGCGCCTTTCCTCTCGAGGAGACAGAGAGCTGCTCCCTCCGGTGGGGTTTGGGCCGATGCCCAAAAGGGCTATTTCATTCCCAATTCCCAGTCAGGGAACCCAATGTTTTGGAAAATCATGGAAAGAAATACATGGAGACAGAATTTGGGTAAAATAATAAAAATTTACTTGCAACCAGGCGGGACCACCAGAAACTGGTCTGGTCAGTGTCCGCGCGCCCCTTTGTTCAACATTTCCTTTTACATCTTCTTTAGCTATTATCTCATCCCTAGTGGTCTTTGTTAAGTACATAAAATTCCAATTCCTGTTTAATGGTTAGACACAGGTGGTTTCTATCGCTGATTACAGTCTTAAAACACATGACAGTTAAGGCACATATATCACAAGTTTGCTCAAGGATTACAACTTTGTTCTTCAGAGTTAAGATGTTATCTATAGTAGAGCTACAGATCAAAGGAGCTATATAACCTTCACTTTAAACAACAAAAGCAACAGTCTAAGGCAAGTTTTTAAAGGGATATACTACCTATTTTGTTTCTACAACTACCTTAATATCCAACCTACTAAGCTGTCTCAAACTTTTTCCCTATCACGGTCACATTTTTACTTGGTACAAATACCTATTAAATGGAGAAAATAAGGGGGGAAAGCTGGCCCAGTTCGGGGAAATGACAGAGATGTCATCTCAGCTTTTAAGCATCTATAAAATTATCTGAAAAGGAAAAGTTCCAGCAGCCACCAAGCTGCATGATCATAAACAGCACTGCCAATGTCACCCTTACTGAGGAAAGATGCGCTCTGGAGCATTCTGTGGAATCTATCACCACTCCCATGCTAGGACCTGGTGGCTTCTATACAACACGGGGTTAAAAACTCTTGAGACCAGATCTGCCCTATCCTGAACCCCAGATCTAATGGGAGCAGGGGCTCGTTCTCATCCTATTTGCACAGACAACATAAAGAAGTTTTCAACCCATTTCCATTTAGGCATTCGTGTGCCACAGAATTACATTTGTAGCTAAAAACCTGAGAGATAAAAACTGGTGAATAAAAGTTTTAAAGAAACAATTGCAGGAAAATGGATAGATCTTGAGACCATAGTGTTACGTGAAAAAGGTCCAGAAAGTTAAATACTGCATGGCTTCTCTTATATGAGAAACCCAAAATATTAATAAAAAGTAAAATAAAGTGATGTAGGAAACAGTGAGGCAGACTCTTTGGAGATGGGGAAAGGGGTCAGGGGAAGGAGAGAGGGAAGGAGGATAAAGGGGTCAAAATGTGATCAAGATGTAATATATAATGTACCAATTCCTTAAAACAAACATAATTATTATGCATTGCAAACATGCACTAATAAAAAAAAGAACTGAGATACAGAGGACATGTAGCAGATGCCAAAAAGATGCAAAAACATGTGACTCCTAGACCCAAATATATGCTAACAGAATTTGAGGCATCAATAAAATGAATTGGATTTGAAATCATAGGTATTATAAAAATTAACACAAGAAATCATTAAATATTAACGTCTGATGGAGAAAGTAAAGTTATTCCAAGCTTTCAAGATCATGGAGTATACAAAATGAGGCAAATCTGCCTAACGGGATTTTCCTAGTAATTCTGATATCACAACTTGATCAAATATTAAGAATATTCTATTTTAAAAGGGAATCTAACATATGAGATATTCAAACACTTCATAAAACAATTTAAACATTACACAAAACGTAGATGGAATATCTACAAAATGGCTCCATCATATACTGAACAAATATAAAAAGTGATATATCAGAAATAAACGAGGAATTAAGAGAATTTCAAAGTGCGTGCTACTGTGAAAACTAGTTGGCCATTAAAAAAGCTTAGAGATACACCAGGTGAATTAGACAGTATAAAAAATAATGAAATAAGGAAAAACTAAGAGAAAACCAAATTAAAATTTTAAAGTTACCAAGTCAGAGATCTTACACACTACTAAAGAAATTATTAAAGATCAACAGGTTTTATGTGACAAACAATACGCTTGGATGTTTAAAAATACAATGAAAAGGGAAATGCAGATTAAGGAAAAAATAGTTGCCACAAGTGACAAAAGTCTAGTATCTCTACCACAGAAAAAATCAAACAAAAGTGGTGGACAAAAATTAAGATTCCAATAGAATCTTCTGAATAGGAGAAAATAGACAATTCATGGTAGAGAAAAAATATTCAGCCCTTTATGCTATCAAAAATTAAGTAACATTTTTGGCCAACTATATACTGATCATCATACAAGTCACACTAGCAATATCATTAGCATTATCACTGTAAATGACAGCATAAACTGGTACTAAAGACTCTTTAAAAAATCTGACAATATATATCAAAACCCATAAAAGAGTCATATATTTCCACCTAGTGATTTCTCTTCTGAAGCCATAGCCTAAAGATATAATCCAAAGAAAAGAGCCTTATACTTAATGATGCTCATTTCTGTATTAAATTCCACACCCACTTGATGAAACATCATGTAGCCATTAATAAATTTGGCTAAGGTACTTACAAGCTACTGAGTAAGAGTAAGAGGACAGACATAACTCATCATATGAAAAGGCCTGGGAAGCACTCATGAGAAAATACTGTACTGCCATCAACCAATGAGGAGATGGAGGGCTGCTTGCCCTCCATGGCGTAACCTTTCTGTAATGTTTTTAATGTAGCTTTAAAAAGTTCAAATGAGCATAACATTCTATTAATTCTCAATAGTTACATTAAATATTTATTTTGTCATATCAAACTAATATTTTACTATTCTTTTGAGGTTATAAAGTTAAATAGTTCCTTTTTAAAAAAATTCCATGAATATATTCGTTATCCATTTATTCCTATTATAATTTACCCATTTAATTTCTTTAATAAACACATTTACTATGGACCTTTTATGATTAGTACTGATTGTCAACTTGACCGGCTTGAGAGAAGCCTACACAGTAAAACACTTCTGGGTGTGTCTGTATTGGTCTCAGGCATGACCTTTGGTGCTGCATCTGGTCCCTGGCTCCTTCCTCTTAGGTTCTTCCCCTGCTCTCTGCCTTCCAGATGCCAGGAGTTGAGCACCTTCCTCCACCACACCCCTCTGCCACGATGCTTTTGCCTTGCAGCCAGCCCACTGTGGATAGAAACCTCTGAAACTGTAAGCCAAAATAAACGTCTCCTTTAAGGTGCAAGGTGCAGGTGGGTATTTTGTCTCAGCAATGGGAAAACTAATACAGCCTTCTGCCCTGCTCTGGCACCTGCAGCCATGTGGACCTCCCCTCCAGGAGCTGATTTCCTGCCCACACTAGGCTGTGTTATCTTTTTACCCAGCATTTTATACTCAGCTAGCTGCTCACCAAGACCAAGCCCTAGGAAAAGTTTTAACAAGCAAGTTCTTTTCAACTCTTCAGAGCCAGGATTCACTATTGAGATTTAGTATCTCTCAGGGACATTAGCATTTAAATGGGACCCTGTAGAATCCAGAAACCTTCATAGCTCAAGGAATAAAGCCACAGCAAAGAATTGTTTTTAATCAGTTTGGGCCAGGGCTCTTGTCCCCAGACAACCCGAGCCACATGCTTAGGGCCAGCACCTGAGTTGGCCAATCCCACCTCCACTTTAAGGACTGTTCCCGTGAAAAAGATAGAGAACTAATGTCTTACACCACATGAGTTCCCAGGTCTACTGGGGAACTGCACAAATCAAAGTCACGTTTAGGATTTCACATAAGCCTGACAATTCTCAACATAAGAATAAATAGATATTAGATTTTGGGGGGATTTTCTCATTAGAAAACATTAATAAACATTCAAAGCCATCACCTTTAGAGATGTTTTCACTCATACTACCAAATGAAATAATCCAATAACTGCATTCTAGGACAAGAGGTTTCAAACCTTTTCAAGTCTGCAAGCAGATGTATTTATTTTGGCAATTCATTAAAAAAATACATGACATGTGAAATAGGAAGAAAAGGGGCAAAGGGGAAGGAAGTGGGAGGGCTAAGGGAAAGGATAGAAGGGAATGGGATTAATATGAGAAAATGGGAAAATAGGAACAAAAT